ATGTGTCCTGGGAGGTGGAAGGAAGCTGAGTGTGTGAGTGGGAGAGAGAGTGGGAGAGTGAGTGGGTGAGTGGGTGAGTGGGTGAGTGGGTGAGAGAGTGGGAGAGTGAGTGGGTGGGTGAGTGGGTGAGTGGGAGAGAGAGTGGGAAAGTGAGTGGGTGGGTGAGTGGGTAAGTGGGAGAGAGAGTGGGAGAGAGAGTGGGAGAGTGAGTGGGTGGGTGAGTGGGTGGGTGAGTGAATAAGTGAGAGGTGAGAATGAGTGAGTGGGTGGGTGAGTGGGTGAGTGGGAGAGAGAGTGGGAGAGTGATTGGTGAGTGGGTGGGTGAGTGGGTGAGAAGTAAGTGGGTGAGAGAGTGAATAAGTGAGTGGGTGAGAGAGAAAGTGGGTGAATGGGTGGGTGGGTGAGGAGTGAGTGGGTAAGTGGGAGAGTGAGTGGGTGAGAGAGTGAATAAGTGAGTGGGTGAGTGGGAGAGAGAGTGGGAGAGAGAGTGGGTGGGTGAGTGGGTGGGTGAGTGAATAAGTGAGTGAGAGGTAAGAGTGTGAGTGGGTGGGTGAATGGGTGGGTGGGTAAGTGAATGAATTGTGGGTGGGTGGGTGAGTGGGCCTGACCTGAGGGCACACGGAAGGCCTCCAAGGCCCTGGACACGGCCCTCTGCCCTGGCCCACAGAGGCCAGACATGGCTTAGGGTCACAGGTGACATTAAGCTGGTCTGTATCTATTATATAGTTCACAGTGAGAAAGTGTAACTGTTTTAAAACTCAACCGTTTCTAAAAGACAATAGTGAGGGGAGAACACGTGAGAACACACCATAGATGTAGAATCACTAAAACATTGTGATTTTAGAGCAAAAATAGACAAACAAGTCAGAAGAAAATATTGCATACAGTCAGCTCAGGGGAGAGAGAGAGAACCATTATTTTTTCTTTTCTGAATCCCAAAAGAGCCCAAGCCGCTGAGCTGGACTGTTTTCCACTTCTTGGCAAGTATGGAGAGACGCCACGGCGTGCCAAGGCCGGCTGGCACACACACCCCCTCCACACGGCGCCAAGTCCTCTGACCCGGCAGTGGCCGGAGATTTGCCCTGCAGAGTCCCTGGCAAGCCAAGCCTCCCACAGGGGCACAGAGCAGTGCGCTAATTAGCACAATTACCAAAGAGGTGGGGCGCCCCGCTAACCCTGCTGCTCTGGAAGCAGGGGCGCATGAGAGAGGGACTGTCCAGGCTGGGCACCTCAGCACACACACGCAGCTGCAGGACGCACAGTGGACCTCGGTGTCCCAGGAGCTCACCAGGGTCATGGTCGCAGAGTCGGTGACACACAGAGCCAGGCTGCCTGTCGGATTCCTCCCGGAGGCCCCGAGAAAGCAGCCTGTTGGCCACAGACGCTGCCCAAGCTGGCTGGGGAGGCTCGCCAGCGGCAGGGGCAGGAAACAAATGAACAGGAAAGTCCTTTCCTTTCCTGTTAAGGCCCCGTCCTTGCTTGTCCCTTTGTCATTCCTCTCGTTAGCCTCCTCCAGAAGTCTGCTCCCTCCACTCCCTTCCTTCCTCTTTGAAAAGGTGCTGGTGGAGTCCACCCGCTGCTGGTGGGGTGCGTCCGCGGCTCAAGAAGCCCCCAACGTAAAGGCTTGGACTGCTTTGCTCCTGGTGTCCATGGATGCGCTCCCCCGAGCCCACGGCGTGTGCACAGCTCTGCACACTGTGTGCACACGTTCACAGCACGGTGTGTTCACAGTCACACACGTGTGCGCAGGAACCGCGCTGGCTTTTCCTGAAAACGAGTCCACGCCTTCGGATCACGTTTCTGAGGCATCCTTGACCCTCTGACCCCACCCCAGACCTTCACATCACACATAAGAAACCGAGGTCTGAACTGAGGCAGGGGGCCCACCTCCCAAGTCCAGCCGTTGGAGGGCGCAGCCCTGTGGCTCAGGAAGCCAGTGTCCCTGCCAATGTGTGCAGGAACTGCAGTGGCCGCCTCGTGACCCAGCACGGAAGTGGCCTGTTTGGTCTCCCCTAGAAACCTGCCCTTGTGCACACACTGCCGGGCAGGACAGGGCCCTAGGCTCTGACCTCTTGAGCACTGCTACGGGCCCCAGGACTGGGCACCGCCCCACACGCCAGGTCCTGGCCACCATGGAACCACAGAGGAGCCTTGCCCGAGGCCCAACCAGGTTTGTTGTGGTCATTGCTCAGCCAGCAACTGTGCCACCATAGAAGACCCAACAGCAGGCTGCAGGGTGCCCCCAGAGGGCTGTGGATAATGGAGCTGCGGAACCGGGACGCTCAGGCCAGTGAGTTCGAGGGCTTTCCCAGAGCCAGACTGCCACCAGAGGGTCCTCAGGCACAAGGACCCCAGGCTTGGAGGAGGTTCAAAAGCATGTCCATGTTTCAGCAGGCCTCACAGAAAGCCATGCTGGCTACCTGATCCCTGGGTGTCAGGTTGCTGGGGAAGCTGACCAGTGCCCAGCAGGGGGCAGAGCTCAGGGTCAGCCGGGTCCCAGCAGCCCTCTGGTTCCAGATCTCAAAACAGAAGCCCATGTGCTGGGGATGGGATGGTGCTAATGACACCGGCCCCAGATGGCACCACCCCAGCCAAGCTCAGCCAAGAGTTGTAACCCCTTGACCCTGCCCCTCCTCCACACAGGCCACCAGCGAGTGATACAGTAGGATCCCAGAATGACAGCAGCGGGCTCCAGAGCCAGGAGCAGTCCCCGGCCGGCCTCTTGGCTGCGCTGACCTGTCTGCATCAACCTTATGGAGCTGCAGAATGGGAGACGCGGCGCACCCTAAGGTACCGGCGTCCCAGCACAGGGCCACATCCACCACGAGACGCAGCTGGACACCCATCTGACCAGCTGCTCCCATACCTCACGGGGGCTGAGGCATCTTCCTGCCCCAGGACGTGACCTTGCAGAAGCCACAAGCGTGCCCCCTCACTGTAGGCAACACCTGCCACTCAAATCCTCACTCTCTGCCCAAGGTTCACTTCTTCTGAGGATGACTGGCTGGGCTAACACTGGTGGACATCTGAGACCCGTTCCCACTCACGGTCCGGTGGCTCTCCTCTACAGCTCCTGTAAGAGTTCCACATTTGAGCATCTCCCAGGTCTGGGTGATTAATTTGTCCTCTTTTTCTATGTCTTCATTCTCTTTGCATTGATTAAAGCCTTTATAAAATTCCTTTATTACATCTATTTTGGAAGTTGCATATATATATATATAATATATAAATATTATATATATATATGTTTTTAATTTCAGCATACACCACTAATTTAAAGTCTGAATATTTTCTCCTACTCCAGAATAACACAAGTACCTGGTCCACTTGAAATCCCACCTGGCCCATATTGTAAAGCCACATTTTTAAAGAACCATCTAAAGAAGTCCTTAGGAGCTGGGCACCGTGGTGTGAGCCTATAATTCCAGCAGCTTGGGAGGCTAAGGCAGGAGTTCAAAGCCAGCCTCAGCAACTTAGCGAGGCACTTTGCAACTCAGTGAGACGCTGTCTCTAAATAAAATATTAAGAGGCTGGGTGGACTGAGGATGTGGCTCAGTGCTTAACTGTCCCTGGGTTCAATCCCCAGTACCAAAATAAATAAATAAGTCCTTATGGAGAGTCTGGTAAACTCTTGGTTTTGTGCCTCTTAAATGTCTTTATTTTGTTAGCACTCTCAGTTGACAGTTTAGCTGGGTATTTAGGTTCAAGGCTTTTTCTCTCCACAGTTGAACATAGTATGTTTCTGTCTTCTGCCTGTATAACTAACAACGACTATTTCAGGACATAGGTTTCCTTTTTAATAAAAAGCCCTAGCACCCCACCCGGGTTCCCCTAACTCCTAGGACGTGAGCTGGGAACTTACTCTCCTGGGCACTGGCCAATGCCAGAATGTCTGCAGCTCTGCAGCCTCCAGCAGTGGCTCTCCCCAGGGTTTCTGGAGTCCTGTCCAGCACATGCATATTTTAGGGCAAGCCAAGAATTCCGGGGAGTTTTGCTAGATCCGGGGTTCCCCCTAGCTAAGTCTCCCTCTTTTCGGGACTTTCTCCGTAAATTTCCAGATATTCTGGTAGCCCTGACCTCTGACCTCTGCACACAAGACCGTGGTGTTGCTTGTCTGCAGTCCCCTTGGGCTGACTCAGGAGGGCCCTGGGAAGAAAGTCAGGGGGTGGCTCCCTTATCTCATGGCTCATGACCCAAAGTTTTGTTTTGTTTTTGTTTTCTTTTTGGTGGTGCTGGTGGGGGGGAGTTTCATGTTTTATGTCACTTTTCAATCAATGCCTTTAAATAACTGTTTCTCTTTTGTCCCGAGTTTCTAATCAGCAGACAAAAATATTGGGGGGAAACAAAGTGCCTGGTCAAGTTCATTAAACCTGAAATGGAACCAGGGTACCTCCAGGCCCCAGTGAAGCTTCCCTCTCTTTAGCCAATGCTTGAAGGGAACAGTTCATCGCCCAGAAAAGGCAAGCAGCATTTGATATAAAGAAAGCAAGACCCATGAGACACAGAGCTGCTAAAGTGTGTTCCCCCTTGACACCACAGGGAGCTTCCAGCAACACCCGACCCTGCCCAGGTCAGAGACGTGGCACCTGGCCACATGTACGCAGAGCCACAGGAGCCCAGAGCCAGTGGCCATGGGGCTCAGGTGCACGTGCAAGGCTGGTCTCTGAAGGAGCAGAAGATGGCATCAATGTGCTGGCTTCTTTCTCCTCGTCCAGGACTTGGGGTCCAGACTCCCAGGCTTCCAGCTCCCAAGCTGTCTCCTGGCTGTACAGAGAACGTGACCTCTCCACCCCAGCAGGGCCTCGGAGGACAACTACAAGCGCCAGGCAGGAGGTGTCCTTTGTGACTGGTGTGGCCGTTGCTTCCACCTCTTCTCATGAGCTGCTAGACACAGAGGACAACGAGGTGGTCCCGTGTGCGTCTCAACTAGCGGCACTGAGTTTATGTAAGTTTCCACCTTTCCGTTCCACCCCAGCAAACTCAGGTTTCTTGAATTCAGTCCAACCCTCCACCAGCAAGAAGGTTGACCTCGCCCATCTCCGTGGCCCGGCTTGTGACAGGCACCCAGGTGCAGGCCGAGGCCCACAGGGTCACCACCTGATGGCCATGAGTCACAAGTGTGAGTCACAGATGCCAGCTCAGTTCTGAAATCAGAGGCAGATAGTGATGCCACCGCATGCAGACTGGCCACTGTCCAACGAGGCCTGCAGTCACCAGGACACCTTCCTGCTGCTCAGCCATTCAGACAGCACAGCTGAAGGCTCCTCCCGATGGCCCAGCTCGCAGCTGGCAGCCTTCAGAGAAAGTGGGAGAAGGACCAGACCAAAATCCTTCATCTGGCAGAGGAGTCGAGAAAAATTCACGAGGACCCACGGGAAAAGGGCACCCCCAGAGGGCAGGCAGCACGGGGCAGCTCCTCACCTGACCCCCAGGCCTGCCTTTGACCTTGACTGCACAGTAGGTCATAACCTCTGGGCAAGAAGATGGAGGCCTACTGCCTGCAGCCCAGCTCCTTGTACCCGAGGCCACACGCCTGGCCTCATGTCCCCTTGCTTCTTTCCTGGTTCATCCCCCTCCCCCCCACCTCCCTCCCCCACCATGTGGGCTGTCACTGGCACTGACACCAAACCACCATCCAGCACAACTCTCAGCTGTCAGACACCGCCCAGCAGCGCCACACAAACAGAGCTCGAGGACCCACCAGGCGGTGACGGTGACACAGATTCAGGGGCCTTTGTGGCTTCATGGCAAACTCAGCCAAACTGACCCACCCCTGCCCACCTAAGACATTAGGGTTCTATAACTGTCCTAGGTCAGTGGAGGCTGCCCAGGGACATCCACAGCCTTCGATGGACGAGCCGTCAACTCTGTGCCCACCCAGTGGTGGGAAACCAGCGGGGAAGCCCCCTTCTCCTGGCTTGTTCAGGCAGGCTCAGAAAATGGAGCTGAAATAATTCCCCCTTTAGAAAGGCACTGCGGAGAGCCCACCGCGAGAGCCGACTGCCTGGCTAATGAGTCAGCCGAGGACCTCCCCCCCACCCTGTGCGTGCTAATTTGCAGAAAGCTCCGACTGTATTTGCCTGTCTTCCATGTGATTTCGCCTGATCACAATTGAGAGCAGGTGCAGCTCCAGCAGGCGACTTGAGCAATCAGCCAGGCCCAGCGGGCTGCACAGGAGCCCACTTAAAGGGCCCCTGCCAGCCTGGGGTTGGCACGAAGGCACCGCAAACCCAGCTCACACATGAGGAGCCAGAACATACGCTGCATGGCTGTCCCCAGTGCCACCTCCAACTCAGTGGCCAGCGACCCCCAAGAAGCTACAAAGGTGCCAAGGGATGCCCTCTGCCTTCTATGTGCTCAGGTCCAGGCACCCAGATGCTACTGCTGGCCACTAAGCTATGGGCCCTATGTGCTGGCTGACCAGGGCCCTGGAGCCCCCAGCAGCCAGCCCTGAAGGAGACGGGGGCGAGCTGGAAGTTCAGTGAGCCCCATGTAGCCCTTCACTCCCACCTGCCCTGTGTCTAACCTAGGTGGCATTGTCCAGTGGCCACAGCTGATGGAAGCCCCAAGCCACACCCCTCCCCAATGCTTCCCAAGCCACCCTTCCCTAAGGCCATCCTCCTTGGGCACCAAGGTCAAGAGCCCGAGAAAGGTGGGCAGGGCTGGGAACTGTGGGCTGGCAATGGGGCATTCCACCTCAGCCCCGAGGGAGGTTCCAGACACCACGCCCAGGGCACGGTGTGGGACAGGGGGCTGGTGAGTGAGGACCAGGGCCTGCTTCTAGGCGTGGGAGTGTGTGCAGGAGCCAAGGCTGCTTCCAGGTGTGTGAGTGTCAGTGCACTTGTGTTATGCATGTGAGTGTGTGTGTGCCCCTATGAGTAAGCACGTGGGCAGGGTAGGGCTGTGGGCTTGGGCAGCATAAGGTCCCTCTCCCCAGTACCTTACCTGAGAGGGACAGGAGGGGCAGGGGGAGGGAGGGGGAGGAGGAAGGAGAGGGGAGGAAGGAGAAGGGAGGGGAAGGGAGGAGAAAGGAAAGAAAAGAAAGACTGAGAGGCTTTATTTTAAAATCTTAAATTTAAGAACTAATAACTCAGCAGGGAGAGAGCTCAAGGGGAAAGAGGGAAG